AGATGATATAAAAGTGTCATCTATGAAAATAAAACTTTTCCTATCCAGGCTACATTAAATTGTGACCAACTTCTAGTTTCTGTGTGTTTTATTTAAAAAAACAAACAAACAAAAAAAAAAAAAACAGAAAAACTCAGACAACAAGAAAGCTTTTAAACTATGAGCAGTAAAGTAACAATGGCATGCCTTTCATATAAAACCACGGCTTTCATCCAGGACACTTTAGAAACACATTCAAAATATACAGAAAACCTACACTTGAATTTGCACAAACAGCCCTAGGCAAGCAGGAATCCAAATGAGTATTTCCACATAAGGCTACTCATTTATTTCCACAGACCACATTTAAAATAACTACAAGATTCATTTCATTCTGTTTGCCGGTCTTATACATCAAGTAAGCAAGAGAAACTGTCGTTTCAGAAGTATAAAAAATGTTCCTTATAAACAAGACTGAAAAGCATGGATAGCGGAGTTGGGGTGGGGGTGGGGAAACAAACCCTTTAGTTGTAATATTTTAGGGAAATGAATCGACATAATGAAAGAAATTTCAAGTCAAGTTCCTCCGCTCGACCACATAAGCAGTTTAGAATCTTAAGCAGATGTAAAAGAAATAAAGCAAATGGGGAGGGGAAAAAAAAGGCCAATAAAGTTTCTGGCTACAATACAAGAGACATATCATTACCATATGATCTAATGTGGGTGTCAGCCGGGTAGTGTTCATTGAGGGAAACCTTACTTTTTATCTGGGCTATGGAGTAGAAGCAGGAGATTTTCAACCTAGTGACAGGCACAGAGCAGCACCTACCCCTCCTCCTCCTCCCCACACCTGCAAACCCTTTTGCTTGGGCCGAATATTTAGTGTAATTACATCTCAGCTTTGAGGGCTCCTGTGGCAAATCCCCGGATTAAAAGGTATGGTTTTCAATAATTGTCCTGAACTCTGCTACGGACTAATAAAACTTAGATCGAGTTGAGAGAAATAGAGATTATTTGGTGAGAAAAAGAAAAGAAAAAGTAATTGTGCTGAACTTTTAATAATCTTTATGCAGCATTTTAAAAAGTATTGCTTGGAAACAGAAGTTAAATATTTGGTTAAATGATTACATGCATTGTTTTGGTTCTTTCTCTCTGTTCTTGCAAAAAAAAGAGGAATATTTATTTTTAAAAATCTATGATCTAACACGATGGCCATCTATATTTATACTTTTGTATTTGTACTAATGAAATGTTTAATGTATTGATAGAAAGGTATTATTATTCTTAGTTGCATTTTAAGCATTCATTTCCTTCCTGAAATCTTGTATATTTTAAGAACTTTTGAAAACTAAGAGAAGTGAACTCTGGTCATTAGTTGTAAAAGTTTAGTGTACATTTCTACAACCTATAAAAGAATATAAATTATCACCAAAGGTGAAAATAAACATTGGAAACATTTATGCTGTTTATTAAAGACCTAACTAAAGTAATATCACATTTAATTACATAATTTCTTGAATGTAAAGAGAAACTGTATTTTCAACATAAATGAAATTTTATAAGATACATTCACTATGAAATGAGGGTGTAGGTTATTTTTTATCCTAATTGCAAAACAGGGTAAATGATGACCACTTGTTAAGTGGGCTCTGGAAATGTAAATACCTGTGGGTTTTTTTCTTCCAAGGGCTGTTTTGACCAGAAAAAGAACCAGATGCCTCCTAGAGTAGTTCTTATTAATGGATAAATGTGGTTTTACTGTTTATTTTTAAATTATTTCTATTTTTTTGAGGTTTTTAATTCACCTAGTGCTTGGGGGGGTGGGGAGGTGTAATTTTGCTCTACATTTAGAACTTATCTCCTGAGGGTTAAATTTTTACTTTGAAAGTCACTCCAAAGGCATAAATGACATCATACAAATGTTGATCTGAAATGATATAGTTAATTTAATGGGCTGAAGTAGTCTAAGTGACTAGAGATTGTTATTTTTGATAAAATACAAATTCTGGCAATGAGCTTTAGTGAAGTAGAGAGATTATTCTTAGCAATTAACATTTAAGAAAGAATCATACATTTTAGAGTACTTACAACGGTTTAATGAAATTTAAAAAGTCTATTATCAAAATAATAGCCTGCCTGGTTTCCACATGGATAACTGTTGGTTTTTTGTTTATTTTTCTGATTTCTTAAGGAAATGATTAAAGATGTTATTAGCACCAACTGCCCACATTAATTGTTTAAAGATGCTGAGTATTCAAGTGTCATGGCACTATTTAAAGGAAGTTAGTTCATGAAGGATTTGTATAAAGTTCTTGGACATATTGGTATTATTCCCCAGGACAATCAGGGTTAAATGCCTGCATGCGCGCGCGTGCGCGCGAACACACACACACACACACACACACACACACACACACACACACACACACACACACACACACACACACACACACACACACAGCTATAAACTGCCTGTTTCCATGCAGCTTTAACCAAAAATAATTTTATGTAGAGAATTCACGGCATTTTAACAAGAGTAAACACAAGTAAATGATAATATTTCCTTGAGTGAAGGCTCAACGTTTCCTTTTGTGGGTGAGTGAAGCAACCAGGAGAAAAGATCTCTGTCCTGGAGAAAAGATCAAAAAGTGACATCTGCATTAATTCTAGTTACTGTTTATTAAATCTGCAATTACTTTGCTTAATTTCTCTTCTAAAATTGTGAGACATTAAATATGCAAAGCTAGCAAACTTGTGGTAAACCATAAATTTTGCATTTTAATGTGAAACAGACTTCCCTTAGTTCCAATCCAAGGGAACACTGCCAAAACAATAGTCTCCGTTAAAAAGCAATGTAGTGACAGTAGGAGTGGGCTCCTAGAGAGGAAACTGGATACTGAATTTAAAGGGGCAGCGTGAATAATTAATTTTAGTCATATTTTAAAATAAAAATCCATAAGCCCATATTGTATATGTGCTGTCTTTGATACTTTAGTAATAAATATAAATTAAGAAATAAAAGTATAAAAAATTGAAAATATTTATTCCCTCTCTAGTAGATCTATTCAAAAATTTCCCAAAGATAGATTAGGGATAGGGTATATGAAGACTTTTTTTCTTATGCTACAATTGGATTATTATAAACAAGTATTAGTTCTAGTTATAAATGTGCAGCTTTAGTTTGGATTCTTATAAAATTCAAAGTAGAGATGCAATATGTTTTGGGAATACTTAGAACAGTTTCAATGAAATTTAAATATATCAACTCAAAAATAGACTGCTCTCTACATGATCAACTAAGTTTTGTTACTCGGATTTATTAAGATTTAATCAATTTTGTTTAGTTCTCTTAAGCTAACTACACAATCAATTCAACACTCTCTCTCTCTCTCTCTCTCTCTCTCTCTCTCTATATATATATATATATATATATATATATATAGTGCTTAGTGAATGAATGGATGTATACTGTATATATGAATTTGTCAAAACTGTACTTTTTAAAATTTGCTTACAAAATAATCCTATAGGTAAAACCAAATAATATGTCATATAAAGTTCAGTTAGGATTTTCCATATGTGTGATTGGTTCATTTAAAGTGATCAGTTTGAGAAACCATTCAATAGAATTACTATTAAAAGTGAATCTTGCTTATACCAAGTTGAAGTTTTCAGTTCCATTTCTTTCTTGTGCTAGAAATTTGATATAGAGATCAACCAAAGGACTTATGGGCATATATATGAGCCTAACCAGTGGTCAAGGAAAATAGGGGTGTGTGGCATGAGTGGGGAGGGACAGGAGATTGGAATGGGGGGTTGAGGACAAATATGTGATACCTTAATCAATAAAGAAATTAAAAAAAAAGAATTTACGTTTAAAAAATATCAGACTAACTGGTTGCCTAGCACAAATTGAATAACTGATATTAATAAATTGATGGTCAATTGAGTCATTTACGTGCAAAATATTGTGCAAGACTGGGTACAAAACAAAAATAAGACATGCCCTGAAGGAGTACTTCTTCTACTGGGAGGGGGTTAGGGGGGGGCAGAACAAGCACGCAAAACAAATTACAAAATAATGTGATAAGCTCTTTAAAAGAGGTTAAGAGAACATGCTTTGGGAGCACAGAAGAGAGAGAAAGCAGCATCCTGCCTGGATGAGCCAGAGAAAAACACAGGGGAAACCCATTAACTCTTTTCATCTTTACAACATTCTTACAAGGTAGGTATTTTAAATGGCAATTATCTTTGAGGGTCAGAGTTGAGATGGGGATGGGAATGAAGTGAAAATAAAGACATGTGGCTAGATTATCGCGGTACCAAACTATGAACAGTCTTGTGGTCACCACAGGAAAAGTAGACCTTATTGCTAAACCATGGATGTCAACAAAGGGTTTCTAGCAGAAGAGTGATACAATTAAATTGAATTTTCAGAAGATGACTTGAGCAGCAGAGTGGAAGATGATTTGTTACAGAGGGAATATTCAAGGCAGATACCCTTTGGAAGCTCGTACCACAGTTTCAGGAGATAAAAAGGGCCTGGACTAAGATAATTGGTGGGATGTTAAGATAAGATTGGCTTTCAGAGAGATCTTGAAGCAGGAATTGGAGATCTCTCATATGTATAGTCAAAACTTCATTTGACTGTGGTATGGCTTGCTTTGAGTGAGCACTGAACAATTCAACATAATTTATCCTTAACAATTCTGTAAATGATGTGTTTATATCACATGTTGTCTCAATTGAGACCCAAAATTCTAAACAATCAATATAAAAAATATTCAGTTTTTCTTTCATAAGTAAATAGCCATAAAAATCAGTCTATATCTACCTTATAACCTTTTAAATACATTTTGAATGCTCTGCTTCTTAACAATTTGTTAAAACACATGAATATTTATTTTACTTTCCTTTATGCTCACTTCACTGTGGGGTGTTACAAACCAGGCAAGGCTATTCTTCTAAACCTTTTGTTTGTTCCCCAGGTTCTTTGGTTGTGAAAACATATGAGATAAATCATGAAGGCCACCATCATCTTTCTTCTGCTTGTTCAAGTTTCCTGGGCTGGACCGTTTCAACAGAGAAGCATATTTGACTTTTATGACCTCATGCAAGCAGATGAGGCTTCTGGGCTAGGCCCAGAAGATCCCTCTCCTGGTACTCCTGGCCTAGAGCCTCTGGGACCAGTGTGTCCCTTCCGCTGTCAATGCCACCTTCGAGTTGTCCAGTGTTCAGATTTGGGTGAGTGGGCTGCAGGCTCTCTTTACCTAACTTGTTTGTTATATTCCATACACTTTCTATTTTAATCTCTGCATTTCCAAATGAAAGAGACAGTGCCACCTAATGAGAAGTAAAGGAAGCAAAGTAGGATAGACAGAACTAGCTTCAAGGTTAAGATCATTTTTTGTTTTGTTTTTATTTTTCTTAAGTCACAGCTCCATCATTTTGCAGTCTTGGACAAATCATTTTTAAAAGGAAATCTTTTGTGAACTTCATGGTCCCTCTTCTATAAAATACAATTTTAAGCAAAACAATGTCTTACACTCTGTGATTTCAGAGTGATGGTTTATTTTAATTAGATGATTCTTTTTCTCATGAAGTTTTAGGTATTAAAAAAGCCTGGGCAATCTCTTTATTCTTGGCTTAATCCAGACAAACAGAGTTCAAACATTGCTAAATTGTAAAGTATGCAGAGTTATCAGAAACAAAACAAGGAAACTTTGAGAACAAAAGATTATCTTTCAAATGCCAAAATACTCCCTTATTCTTTGGGTCTTAGTTTTGCCTTTATTTTTGGTATTTTTTAATCTAGCTATTTATATTCTTTAGAATGTTTCAAAGTAAATATTTATAACTAAGGTATGTTGTAAATATCCAGTGTGATCACAGAGCACATATCTTTAGCCCAACACTGTATATACAATTTGATTTATCATCTTTCAAGAAAAATTTGGCCTGGGAATTTCAAGACCAATACACTCAGAAGATAAATCGCCAGAAATGTTAAAGTCCCAGCACATGAGCCAAAAGGGAATCAATTTAGTTTACATGGCAGCTGATTCACATTCCTCTTTTCTTTTGGTACATTTCCCTTTTGGAAAGAAAAAAAAGAATAAAAAAATCCTCATTAAATTATTCTACCATGGTGCATTTCTTTGTAGAAGAAACCCATAGCATAGTAGGGCTCTTTTTTTTCAGAAGCCTTATATTTATTCAAAACATGCTTTCTAGCAGAATTTTTCAGGGGAAATTGCCACTAATTTCTAAGTTGGAATAAACTACACACAGGACCCAGGAAAACATGACATGTTTAAGAATACTTAAAAACAAATACTTTGAAATAGTTTTTTTCAATACTGACATCACCATTTGAAACCCAAATACATGTATAGAAAGGCTGTAAAAAAAAAACTGTAGGATAATTCCACTGGATTCATTCATTCATTCATTCATTCATTCACTCACTAAATATATTGAGAGCCCACAATGGGCCAGATCTTTTCTAAGCCCTGGGGAGAAAGGAATGAGAAAGACAGATATAGTTCCTGTTCTTGTGAGTCTGAGATACTACTGGTGGTGATCATTGCTTTTTTGACTTGTGTAATTGCTGCCTGGAGATTAAGTTACTAACAAATTAAAAACAAAACAAAACAACAACAAAAACTTCCATAAATCTCTAGAGATTACATGAAGTATGGGTGTAGGCAGAAAAACAAAGGGGTTGAAACTATCTGAACAAAGGAATCACCATATGATGGATATACTAGTGGAAAACTTTTTCTGAAGTTACTATAATGGCTAAGTTACCAAGAAATGTCATGCAAGTTAAATCTCACCTTATCTCTGAACAAGGCTAAAAGACTTCATGTTTACTCCAGCACACATTATCAACAGGGAAGGATTGATGTTTTTAAGGAAGGAAGACTTGCCAGGCACTTCGCTTAAGTTTTATTTTTCCTTAAATATAGTTTTACTTTGCTTGTACAAGAAATGGTGCATAAAGTTTGATTCTGATAACATATTGGGACAGTGCTCCAATTGTCTACCATGAAAAAGGCCCAAGCCTATTGAGTAACACTAAGGAGAAAAGTGTAGTGTTATAAGAATAACGCCAAGGATAGTTGACTTGGATACCTCATGATAATTTCTTTTTTGTTTTGTTTTGTTAATTTTGTGTTGTTTTTAAATGAAATTTTTTTAATATTTTCTTCTTTCTAAAGGCCAGAGTGTACAGTATTCTTTTATTATAGTCTTACTGACTCATAAAAAAGAAGTGGCTAAAATTCTAATAATGATTTGTTTTAGGGGAGCCATGTTTAATGACAAGAGCTGAATTCCAATGAGCAATGGGCTCATCTAAGTCTTTTAGTTTTCATTAATTCACAGATGCATATTTAAATATATTGTTAAAAATGATGGTCAGATATTTCTAAGACAGAAAATATATTTCCTTTTTATGAATTGTTTTTATTTTTCAATCATAATTGATATTTAATATTATATTAGTTTCAGATATATAGCACAGTGCTATGACATTTATATAACTTACAAAGGGAAGAAAATGCATTTTTTAAAAGGAAGAGCAACCCACTTGCCTTACAAAAGACACTCTATTCACATTTTCAACTGCTATCTCACTCCTGCTCACTTCATGACTTTGGAAAATTGTTCAGAGCCTTAACATCTTTATTAGAAAAGTCATAGTGAGTCTTAGAAAGCTCATTATAAGTGTGAGATGCCTGATTCACAGTAGAGACTCAAAACAATTTTTTCTATGAGATGATTTTGTGGAGTAAAAGATGGAAAAAAAAAAAGAAGAAAAAAGGCAAGGGGAATGAGCAAACTCACTTATAGCAAAGGCAATGCCATTTATTTTATTATTAGTTTTAAGTTCTCTTTTGATCTGAACACAAAGTGTGTGTTATTAGAATAAAGAAACTGCTGGGCACAATTGGATAAGAAATGTAAATGTGTATCTGTAGCAGAGGCTAATGTTTTTTATTTTGTTTTTTTTTTTGGTTTTTTTTTTTTCAGAATTATAACTGGCAAAGCTTTTAATTAGCAGGGAGAAGCTACAGTGTTAAAAGGCAAAAATCTTTTGACAACTTACTACCTAAATAATGTTTAATATAAACAAGCACTTTTTAATTTAAATGTTTGACTATTTTTACCACTACGAAAAAAGTTTTAAACAATTCTTTTAAAGTTAAGAAGTGAAATTATAAGAATAATTACTCCATGGGAAACTTGAGACCTTCAGGTGATACACTGACTGTGATCCTAGTTCTATCTTATCAGAATAGTATTACATTATGTTTTCCTAGGACATAGCATATTGAGAAGCTAAACATATGCCTTAAACTATTGGAGAAAGTGATGAGTTCTCCATAGATATTGGCCAAATTGGTTTGGCTCTAAGTGTTGCAGTTTTGTCTGTAATTTGAACCAGACTTTTATGAGGTCTATATCTTATTCCTTATTTCATCCTCTTTAAACATAAAACAACTCATTCCTAATTATAGCATTTATAAAAATTAATAATATAAAACTAAATGTAGGAATAGCAAATTCAGAAATCTGCGTTACTTTAAAATAATAAACTCACAATGCAACTCATTCTTGTCAGGTCCTTAAAAAAAAATGTCCAAATATTGGTCCTGTGACTGGATGCTGTGTTTTATGTATTTTGTGCCTTGAAGAAAAAACCAGTCCCCTCACTTGTGTTCTCTTTAGATTAGCCCTTCATCTTTGGATCAACTGTCCAACTGATCATTTGATAATGATGTTCATTTTATCACTAAAAGGCAGGTTAGCCCTGACAGATTAAATAATCATTAGCATTGATTTTTGACCATTTATCTAAATTAAAGTAATAGCTATTGATATATTTTCTATAAACAAGATTCAAAAGAATTGAAATACTGTTTTAAAATTATTTAATGATGGAAAGAACTCAGGTTGTGCAGTTTAGCCATTTTGTTCAACTCCTGCTTTACTATTTATTGCTTGTAATTTAAAAACTTTCAAAATCTGTTTTCTCATTTGATAAATGAGAACATATTTTCATTAGATAAGAATAAAAATATTTGTAAATATCTACCATAATAACTGTTACATTTCGTTTACCATTCAGACAAAGTTGTCTAATAATATGAGGCTATTACTGATATCTTATTTTATTTTTCTTTGAAATTAAAAATCTCTAAAAGTATATGTCTTGTCAAGTTGGATACAAAATTGTCTTCTTTTCTATCCCTCCAAAAGAGGGCTATATCACCTCCAATGTAAATAGACAAGAGTTAGAAAAGTTAATAATTGTGCAATTATTAAACAATTCAGTGTTCTCCAACACTATTCCTTTGAGAAAAATGAGTTTGGTTGAGTGAAGCATTAAGCACAGTAAAGCACTAAGCTATTTTATAATCATAAATGATTCACATCTGCATACTTAGCCTTGTATAGATAATGCCAAAAAATTTTATTTTGCCATGTAAAATCATTACAAATAAATACCATTCCTACAATGTACTTCATACCACAAAAGAGATTTTAATTAAAAACAAAAACAAAACAAAAAATTGGGAAAACTGTATAACCCATAAAAAGTTGGTTTTCTTACCGTATTTAAATCATTGTCTGTTAGGGGGTCACAACATAGGACCTACTATAATCCAGCTTGTCTCTTGACAGGGAAGATAGTTTACCATGAAGTTAACAAACCCTATATATCCATGAAATCAACACAGAAGAATAAGTGAGGGCTATTTTGTAGAGGGGTAGAGTGAATGCTGGAAGCTCAGTTGCTTTCTGGCTGTATGTCTGGCCCTGTGGAGTTTTGATGCATTATTAGGAGTTTAGATGTATTAGAAGGGCAACTCCAAAACATGGTATAGGAAAAGTACTGTGCACAGAGCATGCCCAGTAGGTTCCTTAAATTAGGATTGGTTAGAGAGATAACAGATCCTCAGATGAAGCAAGAATAACATCCAGGAGCAACTCATATAACCAAGTCTCCAGATGCAAAGGGTTAAATGGTCAGGGGGAAGAGAGAAGGCCAAAGGAAGCTTCCATCTCCCAGATCTGAAGGAGAACTGACACATTTCCTTCTCAGTCCCGGGAGGGAAAGAGAGGCAGCTGTGTGGGATCAAGGCTTTTTGTGAGACCACAGCTGTGATGCATCCTCCTCTGTAAGACCGTCATTGGCTCCAGGGGACAATCTGGTTAGAAGGGGAAATGCAGAG